GCCATCAGCGAGAAGGCCTTTCCCACTTGAGAACTGGTGGTTTGCAACAGAAGGGTTAGAGCACCGCTGCCCTCAAGTGAAAGCCCCTGGCTCGAGTCCTGGTGGCGCCAGTCAATTTTTCTTCAGACGTTTTCCCGTTTGCATCTTTCCCTCAACCAATGAACAGGTAAGGAGTCGTCCGTATTTTTCGAAAAATTAAAAAATCCGTCGTCAGGCAAAAAGGGGGTGGGTGGTCAAGAGTGCTGGCGGAATTATTATTATTATTTTTTTGCTCCATGCCGGGACTTTCATACACTTGTTGCACTGACTGTGTAGTGTACTGTAGACCAGGGAGTCGTAAAATACCGGTATTTTACGACTCCCTGCTGTAGACGTAGTGTAGGATCGATTGTCGCAAACACCAGTATCTACTATACATGACTTTTCAGACTTTTCATGTAGTTGTAGGACGTGCATGTCCGTCGGTTGACCTACTACCCACTGTACTTAGCTACTAGTACTTGACATACAATGTAGGTGCAGTCAGAAAACATGGGGTCAGGAGTTATTATTTTCCAGCTGGGCATCGGTAAAATCAAAAACTTAACGGAAAAAAATGGGGGTGGGTGGGTGGGTCAGAGACAATTTTGCACGAGGACGGATTTTTATTTTTTCGAAAAATTACGGAAGACCCCTAAAGAAGGTGGTGTGACTTACGATCGAGCGTGACTTCTTCCTACGTAATATGTGAATGTACTGTATTGAAACAACTTGGCTCAGACCTGTTGCGACTTATCATCAAGTGCGACTTCTAATCAGTGAAATGCTGTACACTTAAGCTAATGCCAGCTTTCTTCTTCTCATTCCACTTCCTTCTCAGGTTCTGCTAAAAGACACATTCGTGATTATAAGGAGCTTGTCAGTCAGAAGGATGGACAGAGAGGTAAATATACATACAAGTACGGATGGATGATGGGTAGAGAAACAGACAGACAGATAAACAGACAGACAGATAAACAGACATACAGACAGACAGACATACATACAGACAGACAGACAGACAGGGAATGCTGACCTTTCCACCCTTGAGAATATGATACCAGACGGATGTGCCACCAAAGTCGATACGGAAATCTGTGTAGCAGCCACCGACGCTCATCAGGCAGTACCTGTGACAGCACGGCATCACCACAAGCAACAGCAGGAGACCAGCAACAACAACAGCAGCTCCATCAGTAAGCCAGCAACAGCAACAGCACAAGTAACAGCAGTAGACCAGCAACAGTCACACAATCAGTAAGCCAACAACAACAGTAGACCAGCAACAGCAGCGCCAGCACAACCACCAGCAGTAGGGCAGCCAGCAACAGCAACAGCAACAGCAGCACAATCAGTAAGCCAACAACAGCAGCAGCACCACAAGCACCAGCAATAGGGCAGCTACACCTGTAGTACTATCAACAGCACCAGCAGTCGGCCAGTAACAGCAACACCGGCGGCAGCAGCAGCAGCAGCAGCAGCACCATCAACAAGAACAAACAAAACACATACTTTTGCACTTTGGGATATTTCATGTCGACCAGTCGGTTGGTGGCCTCCTGCTGCAAAGCGCGCAATATTTCCGGCCACACCAAGTCCACCCAATCCAAATGACGTACCTGCGTGCAACAACAACAACAACAACAACAACAACAGCAACAGCAGCCGCAGCAAGCAAGCAGTAGGAAGAAGAAAAGACAAATGAGCAATTCGTACACGGTTGCGAATACATACTATACAGCTTGTGACGGGGCATTGATAAACCAATATAAACACATTGCACAAACCAATCAGGAGTTAAAAATCCATACTTTCTCAAAAACAGCCTAAGCATGATCATGTATGACATGAGCCTCAAACGCCCACCAAACCCCCCAACACGGCATACAGGGGAGACAGTAGTGCAGTGGAGTGCTCAACTACAGTGCACTCATTTCTCACGGCTCCTATCCGGACCTCCAAGTTACGGGCATCTTGGTCTACGGGGAACCCTGTGAGTGAGTTCTAGTGGATATATTACTACTTTTTTACCAATTTGTGGAAATACCAGGAGTGACGTAATATGCCAGATCTACGTACCTTCCACATCAAGATGTACATGATTACGAACATTTCCAAATGAAGGGCAGAGCCCCCGGTCCCGGACCGCCCGGATACAACAGATAAGAGTGTACTACATGTAACGTTACATGCATAGGATTGATTGATTGCAGCCAATATCAATCATATCTTCTGAAAATTGTAGTCCAAGTTGATGTCTGATGATCGGTTAAAACCGTGAAACTCAGAGTTACAGCAGAAACGCTTTTGATCCTCTCAAGTGTATGTAGGATTGCTGACGTACCAGACTGGGTGACTGCACTAGAGGCTCCAACTTAGTCTTGGTGAACTCCAGGCTAATGACGTTGTAGAGTTTCGCATTCGTGTAGTACCTACACAAGAGAGTACATGGCGTGTGCCAAACACACACACACACACACACACACACACACACACACACACACACACACACACACGCACGCGTACACACACACACACACACACACAAACACACAATGTAGCTCCAAGTCTCTTCGAACCTAAGAAAACACTCAAAAGACACCATGACACCAAGACATGGTGGAGCCTTGTTGTGAGGACACATCCATGATGTCAATAGTACACCCACGCCTGCCCATCACCCAAAGACCCGCTAGCGATCTCACTGGCCCATTGCCCGCCATCCTCCTGGCACCTCCACCCATCTGCTGTACACTGCCTCCCCATCGCCTCTTTCCGCGCTTTCATGCTCACGCCTGCCTGTTGCCCGCTACCCTCCTGGCACTTATACTGTCGCGCCGTGGCCCGCGCCAGCTGTTCTCCCCATACCTTACACCAGATTTAGCGCTAAATTTGTTTATGCTTGTGGCCCTATGTATTTAGAAGCATACTGACTCACTGTTAGGTAGACCCGAGTATCAGTTGTCTGATGATTGCCTAACGGCATGAAACTCAAGAGTTACAACCAACCTAAACGTCCTCCGCTGAGTCTGCTATGATTTGAAAACTCCGTATGGTGGAACCCAGATGCGCATGCAGTTTACGTAAGACTTTCCGTAGATCGACTACATTTTTTGAACTAACGTAACTACGTTATGCGCAACCTCTCTAATAAAGTACAGTGAGTGCAGGAAAATACTTCGACAACTGTGGACAGTCGGTTATAGGCGATTCACACGACAGCCACTTGCACGTTTTACGGCGAGTGATTTACGAGAAAAAGTGACTGTGTGGATTCACATGGCTGCACTCAACAGCGGGCACGTTTGCATTTTTGAATGATTCATCCACCAGTTGCCATGAGTATTTCAACTTTTCATAACACGCGTACAATAATTATCACGGTGAAAAGAGCCGCGTAAAAAATCAAGTCTTGTTTGCGCTTTTTGGTGTAAATATAGTTTACTGCTTGCCGCAGATCTGCAGAGGGGCTGAGGGCTAGACCCACAGGACACTTCTGATCATAACTCACTGGACCTAGTCTTTCCTAAACTTGCATTCAGTTTCGGCGGGGACAATACCCCCGACACACGACCAACACAATCTTTAACTGTCTTTGACGCCATCACAATATCAGATGCAAACACGGCCTAACGGACAAAGTCAAACAAGCCGTGACCTGATGTTGACACAGCCTGGTCAGTATGGAGCTTGCATGTCGAGTCTGCAGTTAAGGAATTCATACCTCAAAAGTTGAAGCGAAATAACCTGAACAACAAACTGTGGTATAATGCGGGAAAATCAATAAATTAAAAAAATGTCAAGTTCGGAAATTTTATTGGGTGGTCATCCCGTTTGACTGTGCGAAGTAAAATTAAAACAACCAAATGGTTGGGTTGATCTGCACTGTGCAACCGATTCTCTCACCTTTCTTCCTCCAGCTATGCCTGTGACACCCTTTGTGAATGTGCGAAACACTAGTGGCAGGCCACGCGAAAATGAGAATGCGCGCAGCCAAGTTTAGGCCATCATCTCCTTCATCCATCATCCCGGCGGTAACTCCGCCCGTTCAATATCCAACACCAGTCCCCAGGAAAGAATAAGGCACGAGATTTCAAGTTCAAGGGCAAAGCTAAAGCCAATGAATGGCACTGATTTTTGGAATTGTCGAGTAGAACGAAAATAAATAATCGACGGTCCGATTCGACACACACGTGACACAGTTTGGGTCGCGCTCGTGTGTCGCGCTTCGCATTTGCTGCAGCTCCGGAGCTCCAGCTGCAGGGCACCCATGATGAGTCTCGTGCGCGCGACAGGCTAGCCGCTTGCGACGAAAGTTGTCTTTTTTTACGAATTCTGTGACGTCATGTTTTGGAAGAATGTCCCAACAGCAGGGAGTCGTCAAATACCGGTATTTGACGACTCCCTGCCCAACACGGCAACAGTCATTATACAATCATAATAATTATTATGTATGGTCTCATGTGATACAGCCTTATATATAAGCTTACAGGATCTGTTGACCTACATTTTACAGAATATTCACGGTCCACAGTCATCAAAAAAGAATATTCACGGTCCACAGTCATCATGTCACGTGTGTACATGTACAATGTAGGTCGGCAGAGCCTGCAGCCTATTATTGTAAGACTAAGAGTTACTTTGTGTAGTTCCTGCCAAGTAATGTCCAGTTCATTCTGTCTTGCGCTATTCTGTCTTATGCGTCCTGTCGGCTCTTGTGTATTTGTCTCTTTCTTCTTCACATATTAGGCTTCACACTCACAGTGCTGGAGTAACCAGTTTGAAGTGGAAACTCAGGATTTCTTCGCTTCTGTACACCCCTCTGTGTTTTGATATGCACCGGGTACACACTGCAACTAGTTTCTCCATCGATATGCTGGTACATGGTGGGCCGGGAGACACTGATCGGCTATTCCACAGCTATCGCCAGCCTCTCTAAACCATCACTTTGCCCCCCCCCCCCCCCCATTCCCGTATACATGTATGTACATAACACAATCATGTAGGTATAGGAAATAACCATACCCATGTAAAGTGTTGCTCTGGACAACACAACACTCTACCGAGAAGTCTCTATAGGGCTTGAAAGTGATGACGTCAAAACGGCTAGGGAGTAGTAAGTTGACATCAGATTTTTATTTTGGATCCACTAAGGTGTGACATTGCTATTGCCTCAGTATGTGGGTGCATAGCAACCCACTCATGTCGTATGCAGGGGTGACTTTTACTTCGCCACCAGTTAACGTTGTAACGCCGCCCCCAGTAGCCAAATCAGTCAGTTTCACTGGCTACAGCACCTTGCTGTGAGTAAGACGGCTTGAAATGTGCTTGGATCCATACAAAAACTGGATCCAAGTGGATCCAGTTTTTGAATTTTTGAAATTGTTGCTATGCTGTGACGTAGCACTTTCAAGCCCTATTACTAGCATCACGAATATCGAGTTCAAGTTTGCGTACACTTTCCAGTCGAAACACAAACTGCGGATTCGGGTCAGGAGAGTCATAAATTTACAAGTACAGTACGGATCGGCTATAGCGTTGGTGTTTGATTTTCGTGAAAATATCACTATAGGCGATATATTACTATAGGCGATATGCATACTTAGGTATGCCTGACAAATGCGTGTATGGTGTCATTCGAATCAGTGCAGCGAGCAGAAGCGTGCTGTGCATGTGACTGTGCAATACGCGCCGGGCAGAGCTACTTCCTGGGGAAGCAAAAACTTCGTGACTTTTTGACATGAGTTTCAAGGAGTGTGTTCTTTTGGAAGAGAAACACTTCAACACATTCAATCGACATATCAACAATATCTACAGGATCGATTAGTGGGAGTAGAGTCTCAGTCTGGGTCGCCATCGCTCGACTCATCACCGCTGAAACCGTTCCAAGTGGCAGGTCGATCGACGCGTGATGTCGTATGTCACGGAGAAGCTTCTCCGCGTCCCTGATCGTCTTCGCTGTTACCTGAATGCCTTCTCCAACATCTCGGCGGAGACCACGGTAGCGCTTCAGCGCTGGTACTCATTACTGCCTCCAATCTCGCTCGAGGATGCCCCGAAACAACAAGCACAGCCAACGCCAAACATTTCGAATTTTCTCCGAGGGATATCATAGTCGTACCAGCGCTTCCTGGCTGCCGCGATCAGATCTCGCCAAGTACGATGTATACTTTTTTATGATCATCACTATAGCCGATGAAAAATGTATGCAGTAAGATCATTTTGACACAGAAATCGTATCATTATAGCCGATATAATTATTACTATAGCCGATTATTACTATAGCCGATCCGATATGTATAGAAAGGGGTGGTTTACGAAAATGAATTTGAGAATACGATCACTATAACAGGTATATTACTATAGCCGACAACCCTATAGCCGATCCGCACTGTACGTAGTTGTATATACAGAAGCCTTGCTTTTTAGTTTAACATGTTTTTCGATTGGGGACGCACAATTAATTAACTACGAGTGAATCCAAGACGGTCCAGCGCAACAGCCGAGGTAAGCAATGCTGACTTCCGACATTTGACCACAAAAACCGGCGTACCTCACCTGAACAACATCCTGGACGCTGCACTGAACTTATGTTTCCATGTTACCAATTGCAACATTCCACAAATCATTCATAATTGAAAGAAAAGTACCCCTGAAGCTGATTTAAGAAATATGACTGTTTTATTTGTGGAATTCATGAGGTCCGTGAACAAGACTATTAGTATTACCAAGACCAACAGCAACAACGTGAACAACACTAAGGAGAACAACAACAACAACAACAACAACAACAACAACAACAACAACAACAACAACAACAACAACAACAACAACAACAACAACAACAACAACAACAACAACAACAATCTACGACAATTACAACGACAACAACTATTACAACAACATCAACGTCCATCAACACCCAGACCACAACACCAACGTGCAGACGGGGTGTTCCGACGTGGTGAAGGCCTACCCATGGCCTCGTCGGGACATCACCAACCTCGTCGGCAGCGAGCACCTTCTCACAACAGTCGTCATGGTGATGACTATGACTGTTACAGCTGACGAGCTGAGAGAAGGACGCCATGGGCAGAAGTTGGAAAAGACAAGAAAAAAGAAAAAGAACAAAAGAACAAAAGAAAAAAGAAATATAAATTACAAATAATTTAATTACAGAGGAAGACAAGAAAATAACATCACAAATCCTTCCAGATGTGATCCCTGCAGCGGCAGCAACGTGAACAATACTACGGCGGCAACACGACGACTTCTACAACACAAAAAACGAAAATTATAGAAATCCTACCAGCCCGTAGAGTAACGAGGGTCCGAACCTGGGTTTTCCCCTATACGGTTCAAATGGTCGCAAGACCGGGACTCTGCCAACCGGATTATGGTTGTAGTCAGGAGCACTACGCGTCCTCGCCTTGTAACATGCTGTCAAAATCGAAAAGTACGTAGTTCTGTGCACAAGGGGCACATGGATGCGGGTAATGTGCCAGTGGTTGTGAGACTCATCCCCCACCCCACCGTTAATTCACCGCTTCTGTCGCTAGGTTTACTGGATGTTATAGTAACCGTGGTGAGTTAGCTTCGTGAGCGGACACCATAGTTTATTCTTTTTATTCTATTGACCGTTGTGACGTGACACACTTAAGCGGACGGGCAGTCCAGAACGGGATCTACAAAAAAAATGTAGGCCTTGACGGATTATGCTAGTATTTTCGTGAAATTATGCTTTTCGCATTGCTGAATAAATTGCAGAATTATGCTATTTTTATGCTAAAAGTTATCATATTATGCCGCATTATGCTCACATACATGTATGCTGCTAATGTATATGATGGTTCTGTGCAAAATAACAGGGGAATGTTTTGTAGAGGGCGTTTAACGGGGTCAACGACTCAACGACTCAACGCACCGTCCGACCTAGCTACGACCGTCACTGATTGTAGTGGACTGGACATGTTATCAAGGGAGTCGTAAATCTATGACTTCCTGGTGCATCTACTTGTACTTGTAGATTGTATGTAAAGAAGAAAAAAATGAAAAAATGAATAGGGATTCACTGGCCAGAAAAAAGTCACTTCAATCAGCTGTGTGGTGGATACCAGGCTAAAAATAGTGGCGGTCAATTCATCAGCATTGCAAGCTGTTGAATGGTGTAATCCCAGCACAAGTTGCTATGTCTAACATAGCTGTTCGCTATCATCGCTTCCGCGATGGGCAGGTCTGAGGTCTGAGAACATGTACAACTGTATGGAATTTGATGCGAACAGGCGGATTATTCCAATTTATGCGATTCGTATGCAATTTGCCTCGAATTATGCGATTATTCGATTTTGGTAGGAATTATGCGAAAAATTATGCTAGCATAATCCGTCAAGGCCTAACGGGATCAGTCCAAGCACGAAGTGTCAAAATAGGGAATAACGCTTGAATGTACAGTTGGTTGCAGATTTAATAGCTAGATTTCGGTGAGTCGTCTGTGAAGGTGGAAGTGAGCAACAAGATGAACTCCCGCAGAACGAGAGAACAGCACATACAATGTACTATCATGTATAACAAAAATTATGGAAAATAACAACTAAACCTACTAAGATGAGAGAGAAAATGATAACGGCTGATGTGGTGACGTCACGTGTATAGTCTCGAAGCTGCCAACTCTGTGTGCACAAATAATATGAAAACATATTATCACAGAGTGAAGTAGTTCACTCAGTCAAACATCTGTTGTCTCTTGGTCTATATCTGTCACGTGGTCTGCATGCTACAACAGTGCAAGCGAAGAGAGTTGCGATTACGTGACACTGACTGTGAGAATCTATTCTAATTGCCTTATGAGTGAGGAATAGAACACCTACAGACAGTAGTGTATACTGTATATCTGTATTAGTAGCCACTCACAGTATGAACTACTGCATACAAAGTCACTGTGTTTATAGTGTAGTGAAGTAGTGTTGATGTGAGAACAGACAAGTGTATGCCAGATAATGAGATCCACGTCTCACTACTACTAATGGTAATGCAGCGGGCATATGCTGTTTGATACTTGCGGTCAGCTGTTGAAGCAAACAGCATGTGTCGCTGCATATTCTACCGTATGCAGCTAAATCCAAGCGTCCGAAACGTGGTCGACCGTGCAAGAACCCACGCCCTTTGCCAGTGGTACAG